TGTGACAAATTTGGTATAAGAGCTTTAGTTTTATATAGCTATGTAGAAAAAGAACTTTTCAGTGGAGTCTCAATTATCATTATGAACCCAGGCATAATATAATTGAGGCATCATTGAAGGTTCTATATGATGTATTTGAATGTCATTTGTTTCTTGTCATTGATTTCTTTTACTATATGGAATTGTATCTTGAATTAAATATTTCTTTTGTTTCCTTATATAGTAAAATATGCTATCCAGACATTAAGTATCTACGAGGAGTTCTACTAGCAGTAGGGCTCTTGATAGAACTTCTTTGATAGATGATGTGCCCTTTAGAGGTAGAGGATGGCGTCAGAGTAGGATTAAGAGTAGGGTCAGTCGAACCCTTAGGTCCCTTTAAGACATTCCTTCCAGAGTTGAATGAGTAAGTTCTCAGTCTGAGGAACAGACTGCTCCTTTGACACATAACATGCAAGAGGAAAATTTTGGAATCAAATTGTCATAATTTATGAAGTTAAATCCACCTTTCTTCTTGAAGACTAATGCACAAATTGTCACACAACATGAAAGATGTGTCTGGCGTTAAGATGCATGATGTGAAGTATGCTGAATTTGCAATATTTTAACTTCAAGGCATGGCAAATACCTGAATAAAAATTATGTCAAGTATAATGGCAATCGGAGGATTATCCTTATTATAGGATGAGTTCAAGACTACTTTTTTTGAAGCGCTGTTTGCCCCAAAAGTACTAGAGATGCAAAGATTAAAGAATTTTTAACCTTGAAGTATAGTAAGGAAATGTCGAGAATAGAGTACGATAAAAAATTTAGAAAGCTGTCTTCTTTTGCTTTTCATATTGTGCCAATTGAGAGCGAACGACTTAGTGGATTTATACATGGGTTGCCAGTGGATATACACAATTCAATAGCTCTTATGTTGGATTACTTTAAAACCTATACTGAAGTTGTAAATAGTGGATTAAGGATTGAAAATTGGCATAAAGAAGATAAGACAGCTTCTAAGAAACATAAAATAAAAAGCGACGAGAAATTTCAAGCTCTTCCTATAGAGGCTATTGATTTCAAAGTCAATCTCACTTTCGTGCCATGCAACCTGGACCTGAATCATATGGTTCACCATCAGCAAGCATTCTTATTGTGAGATATAGTTCTGGCAATGTTAGGCTCTGAGCCCAGTCAATTCCGAATCAATTGAGTTATACTAGAGTTTCCTATGCTAATTGTGGGAAATATCATTTGGGACTGTGTCATAGGGTGTCTGGTGCATGTTGAGTGTGGATAGATGAGTCATTTGAGGAGGAATTATCCTTATATTCAGTCTATGTCAAGCCATAAATCAATTTGACCTCCTTCCCCCTACTTCATCTTCAGTCCTATTGGCTAGGGCTACTTCTACTTCAACCGGTAAGGGTATGTCTAGAGAGGGAAATGGAAATCAAGGATAGTCTTCGTAGCTTCAAGCCATGTTTATTTAGCATTACCCTCATGAACTATTGTGTCCACATTTTTCTTTATGGCATAAGCTACATTTGGTTATTTACTCTCGTAGATTATGTATCCACATTTGTTATTTGTTTTAATAAGCCCTTATAATTATGAATTTGATTACTTTGATGATTTTATTTTCCATTAGTTTTTATTTATTAATTAATTTACAAGTATTTATTTCATTTATTTGCCTTCTTGAAATCAAGTGATGATAAAAATTGCTATGATAGTTTAATGGTTTGAGATTTTTTTAAAGTTACATAGAGCTCTTTTATGCTGAAGTTTCTCAAATATTTATTTATGGAAATTGTTCTCTTTAGTATACATAATTATTTAAAAACTTTCTTTTTTATTCATGATTAATTATTTATTGTTGGGATGTTATTCACTAAAAATTTAGTTTGGTCTCAAATTCATTAACTAAGGCTAATCCTACAACTGACCTTTGAAGGGTGAAGAAGTGTTATTGGTGGGAATTTAACATTACCTTCATTTGATGTAATTATTTGGACTTGTATATTTTAATTTAGAAGTAAGATTAGTTGCTCCACATAGGCTATCAAGAGCTTTATTTTGGTACATACATTATTTGCTGGTTGGAAGGAGCTAAGTTGCTGATTCACACAATATTTTGTGAAAATTTTTATATTATAGAATTTTTAAGAGATTCTAATTACAAGAGAGGTTTTGTTGAAATTTTTACAAAAATGTTAAAGTTTTGTTATGATAATTAGTATCAAAAGTGTTAAAAAAATTTCAATGTCATGTGATACATTTTTGAAAAGGAACAAATCTTCATTTTTAGGCTTACAGAAATATGTGATGTGGTTCACACCCTCCACCGTTCATCCTTTATTTCCGTGACGTGGCACTTATTGCTTTATAAGCCTTTGTGGAAAAGGTTTCGGATCCATCATCATTCTTTTTCTCTTCTTGCTTCTTATTTACATTGTCACATATTTTGATGACACTTAGTTAACATGTTGACAAGTCTAGGTTAGGAAAATGATATGTGGTTTTATGAAATGACAACTTAATTTGTTATGGTGGATTTCAAATCCAGGATGTGTAGCTGTGAAGTATGGTTTAGGATTTCATTTTAGTGTTCTAATAAGCATGAGTTACTAAAATTTCAAGTTTTAAATCTACAATTTTCCTTTTGATATTTGCCAAATATGTTAATTATTGACAAGAATCAATCATTTAAGCAATTGATAAGTCATATTAGTGTTTTAAAAAGCATTATTAGCTACTTAATTGTCAGTGTCAACCCAACAACAAGTCCATTTGCATTATTATTCTAAAATATTACAATTATTAATTAATTGAGAAGTTGTTTCAGTGTCACAATAAAAAAAACTCACAATTATTCTACATGTTCATGAACTATTATGAACTTTCATATAAAACCTGATACTTAAACTTGACAAGCATATTGATAACTATTGGACAAGGAGTGGATGTTGCGCTGAAGCTTTATGCAAATATGGGTTCTATCATAGGCTTTCCTAATGTTTAGACACGGAACTTAAAATTTATTTTGGTCCTTTGGTCCATATTTAAAGACACACACATGCACGCTCACACACGCACGCACGCACGCACGCAAGCACAGATTGTGGGCCGCTTGTGATAAAAGGGAAAATTATGTAGAGGTCTTGTACAATTAATTTATTTATAAATAAGTTTTGTGAAATTTAAAAATTACATCTAAGTCTCTTGAGATTTGATTATAATTTAAAATTAGGGTGCAAAGATAATAATGTCCTTATTAAAAATATATTACATCATTAAGTAATTTATAATCACTTCATCAGTAATTTATAATTATTGCTTTAATATTTTATAACTATAACTTCATATATCTAATAATTGAATCAATTATGCATTATCAATAAAGTTTAACACTAACTATTTATAACTATCCCACTATCGCTTCAATATTTTATGCCTATAATTTTACATATATAATGGTTAAACCAAATAAGCAAGGGCAATATTGTCTTTGCAATTTAATTTTAAGTTACACTTAAATTTTAAGGGACTAAACTATGGTAACTAAATTTAGCGGGACTTATTGTAAATAAGTCTACTCTAAGAGACTTATATATAATTTTTTCATAATATAATTCTCCCTTTTTTATTCAAGAGAAGCACAAGTACCTTATCAATCTAATTAGTATATACCACAAAACCATCAAAATTAAGATTTTTCAATACTCTCCCTATATACCAATCGTATGATTTGAGTACCAGAAGGGGACCATGAATACAAGAAGACAAAAAAACCACGCATGGTCTATGCTGAAGGAAGACGAATATTGGTTAGGAACTTTGGATGAAGTGGAGTAGCAAGAATTATTGATTTCTTAGATTCACTCCCCCTTGTCGCCAATTATTCCCTCTGTCCAATGTTATGAGGGATTTTTAACCACATTTTATTTGTTAATTTTCTTTAAAACTGTCGCACCTTTTTCATGTTTACGCTTCTTTAATTAAAGCATTTCAATTAAAAAAATTTATTAATTACATATTTAATTAAGGATGTTTTTTAAAAACCCTTGTTAATTGTATATTAAAAAATCTGAAAAATTTTATATTTTTTTAACATGATACTTTCAAAATAAAATGTCTCATAATATTAAAGGAAAGGAGAGTATTACACAAATAAAGCATCGTAGGGCCCACATTGCCCCTTATGGAAAGCTCCGACGGCAACTGGTGACAAGCATAAAGAAGTGGTAGGGATTCGCCACAACCCCAATGCGTGGGTCCGCCAATTTTAACAAACATGCATGCATATAGAATTTCAAAAAAATCATACGCACAAAAGGGGAAAAAAACACGTGTCAGATATTATTATAGAAACAAGTGATAGGTATTCGAGCACGGCAAGCAATAAAACCATTGAGCTTATGGCTCTTATTCTGTTGTAGTAATTAAGATTTGACTCGTTGGATGAGCCACGAACACATGTGAAAGCAAAAATTAGAGAATATAAAAAGGTGAACTCGTAGATTCCTTGTCTTGTTTATGAAATAAATTTTTGTAAGAGACTATATTTTTTACTATAATTTTTTTAACATAAATATCATCCATCATTTTGCGCGTGCGCATATATATTAATGTAAAAGTTAAAATTTATAATAAGCTGCACGATTTACAAATAATACAATTAATTTTTGAAACTTTGTATAGTACAGAAACAGTCACATAATTGTTTTATATGGAAAAAATCACGTTAAAAGGAACTATAGACTAAAACAGAAATAACGGTGAGGTAAAGGGTTCTACGGAAAGGTGTTTTTTAGACTAAAAATATGTATAACGTGGAATTAGCTGGGAATTATAGACATTTCAGGAAAACTGATTTCAATATAAAATAAAATATATATCAAGAGATCCATTTGCAATGGGAAGTAACGAGAGCCACTCATTATTATGACTGTCAACGACCAATCCTCTTGCTTATATAAATCTCCAGCACCAGTTTTGCTCTTGCCACTACATAAAATTTGATTCTACGGGTTACTGAGAGGAACATAGTTACATAAGCATAAATCTAAGAATGGACGTGGTTTCAGTGTTGCACATGAATGGAGGCATGGGAGAAGCAAGTTATGCTAATAATTGCTTATTACAGGTATATACCTACCTTCATCAAATCCTCTTTAGCATTCCAAGTGGTAATGGTGTTAAATTGTCTATCATATAACCAACGTCATTGCATTACATGTCAAACAGAGGTTAACTAAATTTTAATTCATTCAATTTTACAGAATTTGATCGAATATGTCTCTTTGCCTGTGCCTTGGTTTGGTTCACAATACCGAAATGCTCTATTTTATTTTTATCTACTTTTGAAACCTTAGATTGTTATTTTTGGTTAAGATTGATGTTGGAGTTTATATTGTCTTTGTGTAGTTGAGAATGACTTTTAGTTTCTTCCAATTGATAGTTGTTATGCTGTATTTTGTGATTACTTTGTCCCCCCCCCCCCCCGGCCTTATTTTAACATCCCGCACAAGATTTAGCACGGTTAGTAAGATAATTTAACACTGTTGTCACATTGTCGTCAGTCTAAGCATTTTTAAAATAAAAGCAACTAATGTTGCAAAAGAGAAAATCTATAGGGATCTGGAGCAACGAAAAAAACATAGATTAATAATAAAACATGATAATACTATAGGAATTGATATTTATGTTTTCCCAATATACTATTATATATACTTTCTAATAATGTATGTTTTAACATAATTACTATGGACAGCAAAAGGTGATTTGCTTAACAAAGCAAATTAGAGATGAAGCTATAACTTGCATCTACAAAGAAAAGCTCCCTCAAAGCCTAGCAATTGCAGACTTGGGTTGTTCTTCTGGACCAAATACTTTGTTTATGACTTGTGAACTCATTAAAACTGTGGAGACGCTTTGTAGAAAGCAAACACATGAATCTCCAGAATACATCATCTACTTGAATGATCTCCCTAGCAATGACTTTAACAACATCTTCAAGTCTCTTGAATGCTTCAAACAAAAGTTTAGCAAACAAGTTGCTGGTGGAATTGGTCAATGCTATATCACTGGGGTTCCTAATTCTTTCTATGGCAGGATTCTTCCCACTAGCTCTTTGCATTTTGTCCATTCCTCCTATAGTCTTCATTGGATGTCTCAGGTACATATATTAAATTTTTTATAGAGATAATATAAATTTTAGTCTCTATACATACACTCAATTACTGATTTAGTATCTAAACTTTTACTCAACATAACTCAATCCTTGTAATTTATTTAGTTAATAAATTATAAGGGTTGAATTGTACTGAGTCAAGAAATTATAAGAACAAAGTTATGTCGAGTCAATAAATTATAAAGGCTAAGTTGTCCTGGCCAAAGTTCTAGACTTGGATTGATAATTGAGAAATAAGTTAGAGGATCAAAGTTCCCTTTTTTATATTTGTATAGATAAAATTGTAGTTCATTATATTTAATTAGTGGGTATTGCCTATTAGATTTTAGGTTCCATAGGTACCTTTTAAACTATTATATTTATATGTAATATTACCACTTTTAACATTATATTAGGTACAATTTTTCTTCCTCTAACTAATTTTTCTCGTTCATTCCCTTAGGTTCCCAAAGGTGTGGAGAACAATAAGGGTAATATTTGCATGGCAAGGACAAGCCCTTTAAATGTTCGTGAAGCTTATTACCACCAATTTCAAAAAGATTTCTCAATGTTTCTGAAATGTCGTGCTGTGGAACTAGTTAAAGGAGGTCGTGCTGTTCTTACATTTCTGGGAAGAAGCAGTAGTGACCTATCAAACAATGAATCGTGCTACATTTTGGAGCTTTTAGCTGAGGCACTTAATGACATGGTCTTGGAGGTACATGCATATATTATGATTTAATTACTGTTTTTCTAATTTTTAATACTACTAATTTTTTTATTTTTTATGCTATTCCTTTATTTATATGATGGCAAGATTCTTTTCCGTTTACTGTAAAATCACATCCCCTGAAAGTTGATTTCTTTTAGTATATTGATTTTATATTGAGGTAGATTATACTGATTTTAAACTTGGAAAGATTCGAGTAGAATAATTCATATATTCATCCTTTCTTTTGTGTATATGACTCGGTTGAGGAAATCTGTTGTTATTTTAAACTTCTTCAATTAACAGTTAATACTGTCATCAACAGTGATTAAATTTCCTTTAAATTTCTTAAATATCAACAGTTAATATATGATAGAAGAATTTGTTTTGGCCTGTGTCGTGCAGGGAATCATAAAAGAAGATCAAATGGATTCGTTCAACGTTCCTTATTATACTCCGACGCCGTCTGAAATCAAATTAGAGATTGAAAAAGAAGGCTCATTCACTTTGAATCACTTGGAGGCATTTGAAGTAAGTTGGAAAGCTGCATGTGGTGATGATGAACTCAGCGATGATAATAATAGTGGATACAAAGTTGCACAATTTGTGAGAGCTGTGGCTGAACCTCTTTTTGTGAGCCACTTTGGAGAAGCTATCATTGACGATGTTTTTCATCGTTACCAAGACATATTAGCTGATCGTATGTCTAAGGAAAAAACCGTGTTCCTCACTCTTGCTATATCTTTGACCAAAACAACTTGAAGCAACTTCAACGACATATTGGTGGTGTTGATGCGTGTTATGAATAAATTATTTGCCAATCTTTTTATATTGTGCATGCTTGATTTTAATTAATCTAGTGTTTAAGTAATATTGTATCCTTATAATTTGTGATTTAATTTGTGATTACTACAGTACTGTCTGGACATTGATCTGTGTAGATTACTAGATAAATAAGCACAAAAAACATTATAAAGTATGCTTGTGTGGGCGCGCTAATTTCTTCTTTTCTTTCTCCAAGAAATGGATGAAAACTCCAACGTTTCCCTCAATTTTTTTTGGGGAAAAATTGGCATAAAAAACCAAAAGGAAAACTTTGTAAGATTGATAAAAAAGATACAAGAAGTGAAAGCCTTGGAAATATTGATCAGTCTAGAACACCAGTTACAGATTCCCGAAGCTTATTTTCAGGTTAATTTCAATAATATGCAATGCACCTTCTTGGATTCAATTTAATATAATTATAATATTAAAGTAATTTATTTTTAATTATGCATATTTAATTATGTGAGATAGTGTAACATTTGCCTGATCTAAAGCGTGGGCAAAAAAAATTGTCTAATATGTGAATTGTCTTGCATGGTTTTTGAAAGACAAACGTTGACACGTGTGTGTTAGGTTTGTCTATAAAGAATTGGTAAAGGAAATAAAATTTGGAAGATGTCCACTTCACATTTTGGAGGTACTATATTCGATCACAAGATTTTTGTCGTAAAGGGAGACAGTACAATATTGCTTCAAATGCTACCTCAGAAGTGAAATGTAATATTAATTACCTGTCTACTATATCGAAAAGCAAAGACGTACGTACAGTATTTGCAAAAAATCAAGATTCAAGAATGCATCAAGTATTTGACCAAAAAAAAAAAAAAGAATGCAACAATTCAAGATGGCAAGCTTTAAAATAAGAGAAAATTGGTGGAGACAGAGATGATAAACTTTTGCAAGTTGGGGAACATTAATTAAAGCCATAGCTAGTGCTATTCCTGTTTACCAATTATGAATGATTTGGCTAAATGATGTAAAAGAATATCGGTTTTAAAATAATTGAAGTAAAATATATAACTCGAAATGGGTTTAAAAAAGCTAAGTAGGTCCTGGCCAATTTTTTTTTTAAAAAAAAAAACCAAAGCTAAGTGGGTCTCTAGACGAATTAGGGGGGGGGGGGGAATACTACTTTAATTGATCCATCTACTGATCTACATGAGTAGGTCAAAACAGACTAATAATATCGGCTCTAACGTTATACGATATATATATATATATATATATTTGGAGAAAATTAGCTTTTAGCATTGTTTTTTTTTGTTTTGTTTCGTTTTTGTTTTTTTTTTTTTTTTGCAAACAAATAAATTCAGCAAGAAAGATGGGGTCTCTTAAGTCTCAAACGCCACCTACTCTATGTAAATGGCCATCTCTACATCGTTGCATTAAGCCTTGAACATTGAAGGAGGAGAAATTTTGGTCACCTCAATGGGCACTACTCTTTTTGATCTCATATATAAGATACTATCATTAAGAACTAGTTGGCCACACACCATTAAATGCGATAGTTCTTCAAGATTAAACCAACCCTTCCAATACAGTGAGCAAGGAGGGGCTGCTAGAAGTATAGGACTCTCCACATTGAATCCAAACCTGTAAATATGTTACAGGGAATACATTTCTTTTTCGGGGGTTAAAAGGGAATACATATTTTTAAAATAGAAACACAAGAGAGGGGCTTGGGACCATTAATTATATGTGCGAGTGGCGAGTTCTCAAATGGCAAGACCATTGAGCTAAAAATGGGATGTATGGAGAGACCGACACTCCAATCATTTTTCCTGTTATAGTAATTAAGATTTGTTTCGTTGAATTAGTGACGAACATAGTTGTAAAAGTATAAATTCGAGAATATAAAAAGGAGAGTTCGTAAAGGAACTTAATATGTTTATTGTTCAGGCATGTGGAGGAAGGAATTAATTATAGACATTTCAGAAAAATGATTTTAATTTAAAATAAAATATATAGAGGCACAAGAATGAAACATATTATTATCATCAATTAATTGTCAACTTAGAAGCAAATAATGACAATCTATCTTATAAGAAATCTGTTTCTTTTTTAAAAGAAAACACATAACTTAGACGCAAGGAGAGAGAAAAGTTGAATTAAAGAACACTTACCCATTCGTAGTGTAAGCTTTAAAGTTTAAACAAAGGATTATACGTAGGGCACATTCACATTATAAGAGATCCATTTGCAATGGGAAGAAACGAGAGCCACACCCTCTTTGGCCTGTCAATCACCAATCCTCCTATATAAATCTCTCCAGCAGTTTTGGGATCTTGCCACTACAAAATATTTGATTCTACGAGTGACTGAGAGGAACATAACGATACAAGCATATATCTAAGAATGGACGTGGTTTCAGTGTTGCACATGAATGCAGGCATTGGAGAAGCAAGTTAGGCCAATAATTCATTATTACAGGTATATATATACCTACAACTTTCATCAAATCACCTTTACTCATTCAATGACAAGTAGTGTGATCTTATATTAGGTGTGACACTCACTTTGATTTCTTGATGCACTTTTCGACTGTGGAGCCAATTGCCTTTTTTTACTAGATATTTTGGGAATTGTGATGATAGGATGCTTGCTTTCACACATACTTTTATCAATTTTGATCTAGATAATTTTCCTATACATTTTAGTTCCTGTTTGTTTTGCGTCCAAAATCGATCTTTGGGTGTTTAATCGATTTTTAAAACAAAATTAGGCAAACAGCATATAATTGCCATAATCGATTAAACATGCTAAAATTGATTTTTTTTTTTTGAAGCTATTCATACCTGGTTTTGGTTCTCATTTTGCCATATTAATTTGTCAATAATTTGTCAATAATTCATAATTGTGTTAAATAAAATTAAAAAATTTAATAATATTAAATATAAATTTATCAATAATTTAATTTGTATGATAATTAATTATTGGGCCAGAATCAAGTTTTGAAATAAGCTCTGGGAGGTTGCTTATAGATTCAATTTTATTATTAAATAATATATTGTGCTTCTTAAATAAAGTTTAACAAATTTATTAATATTAAATACAACTTTATCAATAATTTAATTTTAAAAAGTAATGTCTTTTATGGTAATTTGTACAGTTAAAATTAATTTTAATATCCAAACAGATTACACTATAACATAATTAATTGTGATTAAAATCTACCACTTAATCAATTATTTTCATAATCTATCATACCCAACTGAAATCTAAACGAGCACATACTTTGGCTGCACTTTCACACATCCTGTACTCGTGCATTAGAATATTTGGCTGACTCGTAAAATGTGTTCTCATTTTACATGCATTTAAAATAATATTTATTTTTCCTTAATCATGCACACAACTACTTATTATCTCTTTGCAATGTAAAACATGCATAAATTCTCTATATCTTTTCAACATTTCCATTTTGCTCCTAAATATTTTCAATATTCCTATTTGCCCTCAAATTCACCAGAATTCTAATTTATCCTAATCTTTTCCAAAAATTCCTTATCCAAGCCCTGACACCTAACAAAATACCTTCAAGATGTAGGAACATGCACAAGGTTGAGATGGGAAAGATGAGACATAGGATATGGGAGTTAGAAGCTACTCTAGAAATGTATCAAGCTTTGTTAGACAATAACAGAGACACTATTAGAAAAATACAAATTAGCTAGGGAATTTAGCGAGAAATCATCTATTCCTATTTAAAATACTAAATTAGTGAGAAAATTAACGAAGAATGTTGATTTCATAGCTTGACTTAAAATTAGCGAGAAAAATAGTGAGGGATTATGAATCTCTCTCTAAAATAAGACAATTAGCGTGGAATATAGCAAGAGACTACTAATCTCTCTCTAAAATAGCAGAATTAGTAAGGAAAATAGTGAGAGACTGTTAATTCCTCTCTAAAATAAGAAAATTAACGAGAAAAATAATGAGGGATGTCAATTCCTCTAAAATGATATTATTAGTGAGGAATTTAATGAGGGATTCTATCCTTGGCTAATTACTACAAAAAAAGTTAACTTTTGACAATGAATTTAATTATACATTTAGTTATTTTTATTTAAAATAAAAATTAAATTCAAAAATTAACTAAAATATTCATAATAAAATTATTTAGTATTTAATATTTTCTTTATTTTAAGTTGAGTTTCATTAATAAAATAATATTTTATTAAAAATATACTATAAAGAATAATTTAAATAAAATATAAATATGTTTAAAATTTTAATAATTGAAATTAAAATTTAATATGTATATATGTGTGTATTTTATAATATATTATTTGATATATTTATTTAGTTAAATAATATATATTTAATTTCTCATATAATAATTGCATATGCCTTTCAATTCAACTGATAAAGAAGGAGAGCTTAAGGCTTAAAAAGTATGAGGTCAAGGATTCAAGTCTTAGCTTTAGCATAAACATAATGAATATATGACATAATAAGGAGCAAGTGACATGGCACAAGGTGGACAATGACATATCATTAGTTATCACATATATGGCGGGTGATGGGACATGGGATGGTAGGTGACATGACAGGTGATGGGACACGTGATGTTAGTGACATGTCATAAGTTAACGCATATATGACAGGTGATGTGGCATCATTATTTTTAAATATAGGCATATTTAGTGAGGGACTAATCCCTCACTAAAGTTATCAAATTTAAAATAGCATTAACGAGGGATTTAGTCCCTCGCTAAAATTAATGAGAGACTGAATCCCTCACTAAATTCCTTACTAATTAGCAAAAGAAATACAATCCCTCACTAAATTTAACAAGCCTTTTTTTAGCTATAAATTTAGCGAGGGTCTAAATCCCTCGCTAAAATGCAATTTAGCTGGGAAAAATGGTATTTAGCAAGGGATTTGTCCCTTACTAAATTTCATTTTTCTAGTAGTAAGAAAACCTAGAAGGAAATTTGAAAAGCAATAGTTCGTCATCTACTGACAACTGTCGCCGTCCTCGACAACAAAAATTCCATCATAATGACATCAAGGTGAACATTCCTGAATTTGAGAGAAGACTCTAGCCAGATGAGTTTGTAAACTGGCTTCAAATTGTTAAATGTGTATTTGAATATAAGGAGATTCTAGATGCATAAAAAGTTTAGATTGTTGCTC